GCAATCATTTTTCAGCCAGCATGGGCTGACAGATTACACTGTCAAAGCATACTAGAAAAAGATACTAGAAGAGTCACTGACTGCTATTTTACCCACAAAAAAAAAAGTGCTCTTCGTACCAGCAAACCTGATTTTGCAATAAAATGTAGCTTGGGAGCAAGCCTACCAGTTTCTCATTTAACACTAAAAGCAACCAAGCCATGACTGGAGAGCTTCATTGTGCAGGAAGCTACTGAAAAGCAAAGTCAACCCTTACCTTCTGAGAATATGGTATTCCAGAATAATCTCTACTGGGGAACTGCAGCTGGCCATAGTTACCATTAACTATGGAAGGTGATCCTCTGTAAGCATCAAAACCTATTCAAATACAGGACTTAAAATTAAAAAAAAATCAGTTTACCATTCTAGATCAAAACAAGATTTTTTTCCTTTTAGGCATCAGTTCAACTTTAAAGCAGTTTATGAAAATGCCTACATGGTTTACTCCTTACCATTTCATAACAGCTTAGTTTTGAATTCAACAAATTGCCTAACATTTTTGACATCTGAATTACAGTTCTTTAATAGCACATTTTAAATTTATCCTAAATACAGAAATTTAAAAACAAAAACATTAGTCTTAGTTCATGAATACAATAAAAATACTTCCCACAAAAGAAAGGGTATGTTGTCAGAGGTGCAGGACTTTAATCCTTTCTATACACCTAATGCTAAGGATGTTACACTGATACAAGTGCTGCAATTATTTTAATAAAATGTTTAGGTACTGCTACTACATTCATGCTCATTTATAACAAATGAGCACAATCAGATACTGGTAACAGCAAAAACAAAGCAGTACCAGGACCTCAATAGGTTCCTTCAGAACAACTACAGGAGTCAGCCTTTCAAGCAGATTAGAAGTGTGCAATTTATTGTGCTTCAGGAGACTGAACAGGGTGCCCATTGTGCCAACCCCTTATAGGGCCATGCTCTAGTTAAGGTACTAAATACCCTTCAGGCTAGAACTGGCCCAAAAGCAGACCTTCTCCTCCAGTTCTTGCCACTATTTTAAACAGCCACCAATTTGCAACTCCTTTAAAACTTATCAGGAAGAAGTTTGTCTGCTTGCAGACAGACAACACAGTATAGCCCTTCCTATACTTTGCTTTCCCTGCCTCCATTGCCAAAACAGGTGGCTCACTAATATCTCAGTCAAATGAGTCACCACATGAACCCCCACTCTGTCATTGCTGCTGAGCCTCTTCTCCCTCTACATTTGTGGTTGCTACCAAAGGCCAACAACCAGGATAGGGAACATGTTGCCTTACCATCAACCTCACTATAAGTCTGAAAAGGGGGTTTCCCCTCTGCCTCAAGAGATATGGGAGACATCCATATTCCCACATCCCTTCAAGTGGGAAGAAGTACCTGAAGCTAGAGAATGAAAGAGCGAGAATTTGAAAAAAGTTCAAGAGGAAGTACCCAAATACAGATGGGAGTGGGAACACACCCAGAAAGAAAAGGATACATTTGTAAAAGAGGCAAGGCATACACAGAAGAGGCCAACTTAAAAAAAAAAAAACAGCTCAACTAGCAGACAGAATTGGGCTTTCATGAATGTATCGTTTGTCAAGTCAGAGATAGGATTTGAGAAACAGGTACTGGGTGCACTCTGACAAGACTGAAACAGTTTATTGCCAGTGAACCTTTATATCTCACTCCTAGATTTTAGCCATAAGAGTATGTTAACCTTCAC